AGAGAGACACAGCAAGAGAGGAACACAAGCAGGGGGAGTGGGAGAGGGAGAAGCAGGCTTCCTGCGGAGCAGGGAGCCCGACGCGGGGCTCGATCCGAGGACCCCGGGATCATGACCTGAGCCGAAGGCAGACGCTTAACGACTGAGCCACCCAGGCGTCCCGAGTTGCGGTCATTCTTAACCACGTCTACAACTGCAGTTGGATGGGTTGAGTATACATGTTTGGGAGTGAGGGCTGCTCCTGATCAGAGTTGAAAAGAAGAACCCCCCATGCCACCTGGCTTCAGACAGAATAAATAAAAACTACTCAAACCTGTCCCTGGGAAGATTTACCTCTTCCTAGCATTTTTATGCTAAAATTCTGTTTTATTGTTATGCTAAAAATGTCTGTTGCCTTTCTAGCCTGAAGCCACATTGAGAAAATGCCACTTTCTATTCCTTTGTTCTCCGTGGATGGCCGACTCTACAAGAGAAGAAAGAGCTTGGAAAGAGGATCACTCTTCCATGCTTGATACGTACATTTGGATAGATAATCGTCACCTCAAACTCAACAGCTTACATCCTTATCTTATTTTTGCCCCTCTATAACTACTTCTTTGCCCCTACAAATGCTTCCCTTATCTGGCTTCCCTATTTTTGTTACCGGCACTATTCAATCACTCAACCCCAAAGCTCAGAGTCGTATCGACAATTTCTCCATCGCATCCTTCCTTATAGCCGCTGGAAGTCCCAAAAGGAAAGAAGTAAGAGTATGGTGCTAAAAATATGTTTGAAGAGGGGCGCTGGCTGGCTCGGTCAGAGAAACATGTGACTCGATCTCGGGGTCATGAGTTCAAGCCCCACATTGAGTGTAGAACTTACTTAAAAAAAGTAATAAAAATAAAAAATATGTTTGAAGAAATAATGGTTGACAAAAAAGATACATAAAAAGAACACACGAAAAGATATTCAATATGGTTAACCATTAGTGAAATGAAAATTAAAACCATAATAGAATACCACCTCAAATCTATGAAAATGGCTTTAAAAAATACTGACAGTACCAAATGCTAATAAGAATGCAGCACAGTTGGAACTCTCATACACCGCCGGTGGTAAAACAAAATGGGACAGCCCTTCTGGAAAGCCATTTGGCCGTTACTTAAAAAGTTAAACATACCCCAGCCATATGACCCAGCAATCCACTCCTGCGGTACTCACCCTAGAAAAATGGAAGCTATGTTCACACAAAAATCTGTACATGAATGTTTTTAGTAGCTCTATTCATAATAGCCACAAACTGGAAAGAACCCAAATGTCCTTCAGTGGGTGAATAGCTAAACAAACTGTGGTGCATTCATCCAATAAAACACTACCCAGCAATATAAAGAAACAAACGACTGAAACATGCAGCAGCTTGGATGAATCTCAAAAGCATTATGCTGAATGAAAGAAACCAGTCTCAAAAGCTTATGTACTGTTTAAATGCATTTATATCATTCTCAAGAGGACAGAACTATAGGGTTGAAGAACAGATCAGTGATTGCCATTGTAGGGATGGGGAGATGGTGTAACTATAAAAGAATAGCCTGAGAGGCTTTGGGGGGGTTCATGAAACTTTTCTGTATCTTGATTGTGGTGGTGGTTATCCTAATCTCTACAATATGTTCTATATACACCACAATACACCTGTACACCAAAAAAGCACATCTTAGTATATCATAATTTAGGAAGGGGATAATGTATAATTGTAATAGCAAGTACTCTTCACACAAACAATTCAATTGATGGGAATAGAAGAAAGCTAGAAAGTGGTGAACTGGCCATGGGCCTCTGCCAGAATGTTATAGAGAGAATGGAGAGGATTTGCTAATCTGCACATTTGGTTAAATGGAAGTGGGATACGAGAGCCTCTGCTACACTTCCATAATTTCACTCTTTCTTTTTTTTTTTTAAGATTTATGTATTTATTTTAGAGAGAGTGTGTGGGGGAGCGGGCAGAGGAGCACAGGGAGGCTCCCCACTGACCATGGAGCACGATGAGGGGCATGATCTCACGACTCTGAGATCATGACCTGAGCCAAAAGCAAGAGTCTGCTGCCTAACCGACTGAGCCATCCAGGTGCCCCCTTTCACTTTTTTTTCTTTAAAAAAAAAAAACAACACAACATTTTGATCATTTGAATTCTCTAAATTAAAAAAAAAAACGTAGAAATGTCCTTCATCTTTCTTTTTAAAGATTTTATTTATTTATTTGAGAGAGAGAGCGAGAGAGTGCACACACAAGTGGGGGAGGGGGAGAGGGAGAGGGGGGAAGCGGACTCCCCACTGAGCAGGGAGCCTGACGCAGGGCTGGATCCCAGGATCCCAGGATCATGATCTGAGCCAAAGGCAGCCGCTTAACCGACTAAGCCACCCAGGTGCCCCTCCTTCATCCTTTGATTACTGAAAATCAGGAAAACTTTCAGTGCACATGAACTCCCGGATATGCTTTACTTTAAATACGGGCTGTTTCAAATTCTTTCCCAGTTCAAAGTCCTCAGTTCCTCCTCGCTGCCTTCACTTAAACCTGATGACCCTTGGTTACCCTCCCGTGGGGGGACGGCTTACGCAGTGCTAGTCTGGCTAAGATCTCCATTGACCAGAAGTAACCTGCATGATGGGTGACAGAACGGAATAGTAACTCGAGGGGAGCATTTATTTGCATCTCAAAAATATTTTTGAATATGAGCTCCACTGAGGTTAGATATTGAGAATGTTCCTTCTGGAGATAGATCAAGAGGAGAGACCTATCTGGGAAAGTTTAGCGAACTCTCCACCTTCCGATTTCCCTGTATCCATCATCTTTTCCCTCTCCAAAAGTCTCAGAAGAGTGGATCCTTCTCAAAAGCTACCAATCCTTCCATGTTCTGAATTCTACAAAGTTCTCGCAGTCAAAATTTCTTTTGTGTGGCGGAGCACATTTTTCTATGCTCCAAAACCATTTAATCTTGTGTAATCATTTCTGTGAACATTTAGAGATTTAAAAATGAATGGAGAGATAGGGGGACATATTTTCATACATCATCTATAAACATTTGTTAAATCATTCTCCAGCTGCTTCTTTCAGCATAAACAGATAATTTACCTTTTCTAAAGAGATTTATTTACTATTCCTTTACTATCACTACTGCTTTACTCAGAAACTTTTCTATCAGTATGTAGAGATTCCATCTAGGGTTAAGATGCTGTTAAGAGCGTTTCTGTCTAGGTAAGCCAACAGGTGTAGAGAACAGGAGGCTGAGGTTTACAGAAGTGGCACTACAGGATGGAATGTCCTTGAAGATCCTCATACTGAAAGTTTTCCCACATGACCGTGAACATGCAAACATAGCATTGAGGAGAAATCTGTCAGCATCAGATCATGACTGTGGCTTTTTTTTTTTTTTTCTTTCTGCAGAACGCTTTGAGGTTGTGACTTTTACTCCATGAGAGGAAGCTTTAGGAAGAAGTCTTGGACCGGAGAAACAGGAAGAGACCACAAGAAATGCCCACTGTCTCAACTATCTTCAGCTGTCCCAACGCTGACCTTAAAGGAACCCAATATTAGTCTGTTAGGAAGCAGGGCACGGGGGGCTGTCTGGCCAGGAATGGATACTAGGAAGTGGCTGAAAACCTTTGGGCCTCTCTTCTCCCACACTTTACACCCAGTCACGAGCCCTTCTTGGCAGTCAGGACTTTGAACTCATCAGACCCAAGTCTGGCCTCATGGAAGAAATAATAATACCCATAGCAAGGACATTGCGCAGAGGATAAGAATAAGCAGAAAGTTTTGACTTAAATTCTGTGTGCCTATTCTTAAATGCAGTATTTAGCATGGAGAGATCTAAAAGTCAACACCAGCTAATTGTGACAGAGTAGCTTTCTGAAAAATGACTTCTCTTCTGAGTTGAAACTTTATATATGTACTCTTACTCCACCCACCTAGCCTCCTTTCTGGGGGGAAAAAAAGATTTCCTCTGCATAATTTCCTTCCCCAACTCTCCTTGCCACTTTAAAGATTTTATTTATTTATTTATTTATTTATTTATTTATTTATTTATTTAAAGAGTGTGAGAGAGACTGAGTGGGTGAGGGGCAGAGGGAGAAGGAGAGAGGGAATCTCAAGCAGACTCCCTCACTGAGCGCGGGGGCCCTGCAC